TTGTGTTTAGGAAATAAATATAACACATATGTGAATGCCGAATTGTAGAACAGGTTCAAGTAATTTCTTTAAAATATAGAAGTTTTTCTGAAGGATACTCACAGTAACAAATATCCAAAGGAAACTCTAAAATGTCAAGTTTTTTTAATGCAGTTCTGGGTAACGTCCGGTCTTGTGTAGGCTAAGCTAACTGTTAGTGTAGTGTTCTTACGGAAGTTGTTAATTCACACACTTCCTAATTAATTAGCAACAAGGTTTTAGCATTTGTTATTCGCAGTAGTCAACGTTAAATCCTTGAAAGCAGTGGGTCATCACACGGTGCTGTAACTTTGTTCAACAATATAACACAGCAGAACTTTGTACCCAAACATGACCGCATCCCTATTTAACGTGGTGCCTTCAGTGCCTGTTAATACAAAGTAAACTACAAACACATAGATGTGTACGTGCCCGTTGACGAGCAACACCGGCCACGCGTGTGTAAATCGTCATCTGCTGGTGATACCTTCACGTCTCTTACTTTTGATCCGGACAAAGACACGAACGACATTAGTAAAGGTTTCTCTAGACCTACTTCACAGAGCAACTTTGAGCTGAAGCCAAATAAATACTGGAATAACAACAAAGCAGGACTTTAAAATGACAACTTATTCCAAGCTAAAGTTTTATCCAAGCTACCCAAACACTGTCACATCATAGCTGTTGAAGCAACACGTTGCTGTTTGATCAGGTAAAAACACGAATTCTATTTTATTTGTCTGGCTCACAATGAAGTAAATTGAAAGGACATGCAAAACATGAACACAGAACAAAACGACTGACAATAAATGACAGCCCAATTTTCATGCGTTTATTTTAATATAACGAGCAACCAAAAAAGGCGGCGTTATGTTAAACACCGTAACCCATGTAACATATTTTGCTACACTGTATTAAGATGAGGTTTGCGCTTTTTGGCTTGTAAATAGACCGCGCAGAATAAAACAGTTATTTCCTACAGCCCCGGAAGGCAGCATACGAGTCTTGGTATGCGTCACTTCCTCTGTAAACAAACCGGAATCTGCTACCCCCTAGCAGGAAACTCCAGCATTACACAATACGACAAAACCAAGCAAAATGTAAGGTTTTGAGTTTAATCATTTTTTTACAATTCTGTACAAGTGAAGCGGCACATATATATAAAACAACCAGAAACGGAGCCGTTTCTCAGAGGACACAGTGACAATTCCTGTCATTACACATGTAGTTCACATAAAGTCAGCCAGACCGTTCAACAGTCCCAATGCAGGAGTGTGATGTTATACTTTTCCCACAGCAATCATTTGGCTTGGTGTGTGACTGTTAACGCTGGTAACAGATCTGTCCCAGTTATGTGTGGCAGTGAAGACGGCAGGTAGCACTGAGCACCTGGAAGGAATGGAGCTGTAATTAACGTTGTACTGGACAAGTCAAACTGTCCAGCGACTAAGTGAACGTCTTGTATAATAAACCAGGCAGGTAATAAACATCTGTGTAACATTAAAACAATATGCACGTTGGATTAATGGTTGCGACCTGATGTGGAGATACAGAATCCCTGCAAACAATACATTAAATAAATAAAACACTTTTTAAAAATGCAGCAGCAAATGAGGGGACCACAATGTGTCAATGTGCTATATGAGTCAGTCTCTGCAAGAAGAAAAAATAAACAGAGGTTTAATCATTCAGCACAAGTTAGACAGTCATTTTCAATATACTGAACTACTGCTGTAGTTTAGTTTTAAATAATGAAATTCAACCACTTATTTATGCAACACCACCTGGTGTCATTTGTCGTCCTGTTCCGAGGTTCTTATTAGAACTTTTCCCTTTTGTCCAGATGTGAACGCTAACAACATGTAATTAAAGGCCACACAGAGAACCACATACACAGCGTCTGCTAACAGCTAAAGCTGTGTTAACTGGAGTTTCTTCAGAGCAGCTGTTTAAAAGCTTGACTTTACATTTTACAACTGCTGACCCACTGGTTTCTCTACTAAACGTTTGTTTCATCAGGGCAACTTGCAACCTGTACTTCACTTTATTTGTTTCATCAGGGCAACTTGCAACCTATTACTGCACTGTACTTCACTTTGTCTTAACCAGTTGTACTCTGGTTTTAGTGCTTACTGTTTTTACTGCTGTTAGTTTTTTTCACCTATGTAAAGCACTGTGAATTGCCTCTGTTTACGAAATGTGCTATATAAATAAAGCTGCCTTGCTTATAAGACACTGCAAGCAGAGAAATGTAAGAAATTTCAATGTTTCATTGTACAGGAGTTAAAGCTGCCAACAAATACATTAATCATTGTGGACAGCTGTGGCTCAGGAGGTAGAGCGGGTTGTCTCCTAAACAGAGGATTAGCAGTTTGATTCCCAGCTTGTCCAGTCAACATGTCGAAGTGTCATTGAGCAAGACACTGAACCCCCAGTTGCTCCTGGTGATGTTACCGGTGTGAATGGCCAAATAGTGTGAAAGCACTTTGAGTGCGCTGCAATGCATAGAAAAGCACTATACAGGTGTATAGACCATAAACAATAACATCTACTTATACATTATAGTGGGTTATAACCCACTTTTTAAATATTTATATGGTGCATATAAATGTTAAACTTGGGGGTAGCACTAAAAGTACAGTGCTACCATTTAAGGGCTTTAGCTCATTAAAATAGGGGCAGAGAGTTATTTCTGTGGCAACATACTGGAGTAAAACAACAAAAGAAAACAGTAACAGAGAAAAAGAAATATAATCTAAAATGTCTGTTGCCTGTAATCACTAGTCATTCCTCTTGTTCAAGTACGGAGCACCGTTGTCCCTTTCAGTGAGTAGCCTGAGCAAACATCGTCGTACAGTACAGACAGCTGCCGCGTCAGCAGCACAGCAAGGCTGCAACACACGAATAATCCTTACGAAAGGTTTTAAGTTGAGAAAAATAAACAAATTACACTACACTACGGACTACTCAGACAACCTTGAAGTCTTCAGCGGCAGTCTAAACAGCCAAAATGTGTGACAGATGTTGATGGAGATGAGCACAGAGCAGCAAGAGATGGAGGATGAGCTTTAAAAAAACAAAACAAAACAAAAAAAAAAAACTGGTTTCAAGACTAAATGCTTCTGTTGCAACCCTTCCCCTCCCTGACTGGTCCTCTCTTCAGAAGTCCATCCCTTCATCACTTTCACACCAGTCCGGGGGAGCGTCGGTGCCAAAGTACCGATCTCCAAAATTACCTGTGGAAACACAAAAAGAAAAGCAATGCAGAGTGAAAACAGAACCGGCTGTTAGCTCTCTAAAGTGTCAACTAATAAACAAGATTCAGGCAGATGGACTGAAACAATGCAACAGTTTTGAAAACAGCCCTGTCAGGGGGTGAAGGAACTCAGTCACTGTCTTAACAAGAACAGAAGCTACTGATTAGCAATTACGCTAGCGAATTATTGAACAATGAACAACAGACAAGTTGTGTGTGCATGTGGTGGTGGTACTTTGTCAGGGACAACACTCAGGGAAGCAAAAAGGAGGTAGTGCCACACTTGAAACTGAAATATAAACCATTGACAGCTCCTTGGAAGGGCTACCTCTTCTTCCCAGCAGGGGGCACTAACTCACTACTAACCTGTGACGAGGAGTATAAACCAATACAGCCCGTTACCCATCACGCTTTGTACAGGGGGATTTGGGCAGTGATTTTAATTCATAGTTTGTTGATGGGATTATTAGGGATTTTCCATTTGAAGCTTTTATGTTTTTCTAGCTTTTTGAAAGCTGATGTGTCAAACCAGAACTACAGCCTCAGTTATATGCTTCCAGCAATTAGCAGAGTCCATGCAGGTCTGTTTGGACTCATAATACATTCAGTGAAGGAATTTATCAAACGGTATCACCACATTCACCAAAACAGGATGGACCTGAGGTCACAGTGACCCCTGACCACCAATACCGAAGCCATTTCCTCAAGACATTCCTGAGAGTTGAGAGAATGAAACTGACAAGCCAAAAACATAACACCTACGAACTGCAGCTGTCACTGGTGCTGAGCCTTATTTGTAAACCTACTTTCTACAGCATTAGTATGTTTATTGTGAGCTGGAAGAGCTCAGCATCAGGCTTGTTGTTGTATCTGATCAGGGTCCCTGTGCATTTTTGACCATGTATTTGTATGTTTACATACAGTATATAGCATTTGAAATTTTTGTTGAAACAGTGCTACTTAATCCTCCCAGATGACTTGTGTGAAACTGCCTCCAGGTGACAGAAGAAGAAACCACCTCACCGATGCCTGGGATGATGTGGAACTGGTCGTTGACCTCCTTGTCCACAGCCGTGGTGATGATGCGGACTTTAGGGAAGGCATAGGCCACAGAGTGCACACCCATCTCTGCCATTAGCAGGGACAACAGGAAGATCTTATCTTCTGCTACATCATGGTCCTTTCCAGAGGAAAATAAGGAGAGCAAGAAAAAGCTCATTTAACACTGAAAAAGATGTTAATATCAGTGACTGGAGGAAGACATTCTCTGTTAATAGTCAAAGGGGTAGTCGTGCCCAAATGAAGAATTCTTTATATTCTATAGAATTATTTTCAAGTGAAAGAACATGCATTAAATTAGAAGAGTGAAAGACAAAATTAGGGTTCGAGCACAGTTAAGATGGAAAAGTCTTGACTGACAAAAAGAAAAAAAAAAAAAAGTACTAAATCTTGCTGAGGTACCAGCAGCACTCTGACAGCCATGAGAGCAGCCGCCCCGGTGGACACGGTGCTGTCCATCAGGATGACATAGTCTTCACTGATGTCTTTGGGCAGACGAAGGTAGTGAAGCTGGAGAAAGGAGACAAGCCAGTAAACAACACTGAGAAGGTGCAGATATTCTGATATCCATTAGCTGAATCAGTCTCTAACGGGCTACAATCATTAAATCACTGAAATACCAAATAAGATAGAAAAGATTTTCATCAATCAGTGACATATACTCTAAAGAAGTGTACAACATCCATCACAAGTGCTGAATTCATATTGGAAATCTCAACGTTACAACCCAGATCAATGATGTGAAGGATGTCACAGTACAAGGAGCAAGAAACCCAAATACTATTGGACGCAGTAAAGAGGGACAAGAAGCTCCATCTCTGAGGAAACTGTGGAATGCATGTTTTTGGATGAAAACACTTTTTTTGGGTCTGAAAGCGTGTGCGACAGAAACACAGGCTGAAAAGCTTGACACACACACACACACACACACACACACACACACACCTCGGGTTCTCCAGTATCCTGGTTGGTCTGGATGAGGATCTTTCCCAGCCGGATGTCTTTGCACACAGCCATCAGAGCCTGCTCCATGGTCTCCCCTGCCCTCAGGATAGAAACTCCAGTGATCTGCACAAACGCACAGGAGTTTAACCGTCTGACAACATTAAATGAGATTTGATGATGTGAGAACACGAAAAGACAACATGATGATCTAACACCTGCATGAAAACATCTGCTGTGAGCACCGCAATGCATCAACATTCACCTGGCAGCACAAAAACCCCAGAAGTCTTCACACACATACAGCAGGTAAATGAGATTCCACTGCTCCGTCTGGACTGTGCAGTGTGGGTGTTACAGTATACCCTTTTTATGGTTTATGGGGACTTTTAAAAAATAGGGATTCTATTTATTGAACGCAGCCTGAGATGTACACTGGGATTAAACATGGACTTGAGCTGGGTGACCACAAAGTTTAGGTCACATTAGTAACGACCATGTTAACTAGTGGTTCAGATCACGGACCGGATCATTTGTCAGATCAGGGGAAACATCTGCTGTGAGCACCGCAATGCATCAACATTCACCTGGCAGCACAAAAACCCCAGAAGTCTTCACACACATACAGCAGGTAAATGAGATTCCACTGCTCCGTCTGGACTGTGCAGTGTGGGTGTTACAGTATACCCTTTTTATGGTTTATGGGGACTTTTAAAAAATAGGGATTCTATTTATTGAACGCAGCCTGAGATGTACACTGGGATTAAACATGGACTTGAGCTGGGTGACCACAAAGTTTAGGTCACATTAGTAACGACCATGTTAACTAGTGGTTCAGATCACAGACCGGATCATTTGTCAGATCAGGGGGAAAAAAAAAGTCTGAAGTTTCAATAAAATCTTAAAATCTTCACTATTAAGGTAACTTAACCAAGTAGTCTGTGAGCCTAAACATAGTGAAACTTTGACTGTTTCGGCTTGCTGTTGCAAATTACGCTGTTGTTAATGTTGGCGTGGACACGACTCTTGTCTGTCTCGCTTAACTGCAAGTCTGCATCAAGATCTTGGGAATTATTCCTTTAAAAAGTAGCAGTGGCAGTAAGACTGCATTTCACGCAATGATTCAGCAGTTCAGGTGTGTGCTGAACCAAAAATCTGTACAGATCAGGGATCAGCTACGATCCGTTACATCACTGAAGTTATCGGTGTCAAACAGCAGAATAAAAGCAGACTTACCCGTTTACCGCTCAGCCTCTTGCCCTCATAGATGCCACCCTGAGGCGTCTCCACACATACCGACTAGAGAGAGTGTCACAGACGCGACAGAGGGGAAACGGCTTGTGAAACATTTTGCCAGCTTCACCAGACACTTAACTTCAGCCGCTAACTGGTGGTTTAAACCTGAAGTCTATTTCAGGCAGAGACCTTTCTAAAGGTTACACAGCTAAAACTGCTGATGAACAGACTTGTTTACTTCAACAAGATTCTACCTTCAAACGAACCGAAAGCAGGAGGCCAGTGAAAAGTCACAAATAAAAACTCACCTTGAGGGGCAAGAAGGAGAGGGCATGTTCTATCAGGAGCCTCATTAATCTCTTGGAGTAGAAAATAAACTCATCTCGGTTAGTCTCCTTGTTCCTACACAACACAGAGGGCAGGATGAAAGGACTGTGTGACTGGGAAGAAACTGGGAAGAGCCTGACTCGTACTAGAGAATAAAAGTCAGGATATCTCAAGTTTTTTGCCATATTCAGTTTTATGTGGTTTTAAGAAGACCTGGCTGGTAAAGTGTGTGTGTGTGTGTGTGTGTGTGTGTGTTCCGACCTGATGATGGTGTGCATGCCGCGGACCTGTGGCGTGCTCTCCATAACACTCAGGGTTTTGGGTAATGGCTGACCCTGATGAGCAGAGGCCAGAGCTGATCTGTGGCAGACAAACACATTCATATACACAAAGTGAATGACGTGCTGACTTCAGGAATGTTCAAGTAGCACACTGTGGCAGCAGACTGATGACATTCTTAATTAAAAAGCACCTGTTTGGAGCAAAACTCTCCTAGGTGAAGCAGGTCGACTCAGACTACCGAGTAGACAAATCTCTAAAAAGCTGAAAACTGTTGTTTTTGTCCATCGATATGTGTCTCAACACGAGAGATTACCTCATGACAATTTCAGCAATTTTGTTTCACCCATAACTTTATATTCAACTGGAAAAACAGTGTGTTGAAAAGTCATTTAGCAGATCACGAGATATTAAAACTCAAACACAAAGAAAGGTTTTAGACTTAGCAGCTGCTTAAGGCCCAAACTGCATCTATTCAAGTCAAGACATTTACACTCACTGAACGGGGAAGGCAGTTAAAAATGCAGAAGACGACCAAGTACAATAAAACTACAAAATCATGATTTTAAAACCACAAAGCTAAAAGAGAATCCATAAAGCAGGTCTCACATATCCCAGCGGAGCTTCCTCTGAAGAAGGTGACCGATTTGGTGAAATGAGGTTATTAAAGGTGTCGGAGGGAGATAAAGAAATACAGGAAGGAAAACAAACACAGGATGGGAAACAGGAAAAAAGAGAAAGAACAGTATTAGAGCAGTGAAACAGCTCCACTAAATCTCTGCTGCGCAACAATGAACAAACACTTTCTAGTCCAGGACTGAGGCGCAGCAAGCTCACTTCAATTTATCTGGGGTCATTTTAGGTGACTCAGGTCCTTCACCCTGCGAACAGACTACTTCAGAGGCTGAAAACACAGATTAGTCATTCTTTGCTGCAGATTCAGTGCAAGATCTCAACCCAATGAAAGAAGCTTCTGTTCCTGGAGATTTACTAAGAATTGATCTAAAAAAAAACAGAAAAACTGGAAACATTCATGCTGTTGAACCAAAGTTTCAAATCTGGTCTTAAAGGTGTGCTATAGTTTAGTCCCAATATGAGTGAATGCCGCTGTTGTCGTCTTCATCAGCAGCATCATAATCATTTGTTCAATAAAACAGCTTTTTTCTGCCTGTTGCAGGAAACCCTCAACAGTTCATCTCCGACCTGCTGCTTTAAGAGGTTCTCAACTACAGAGGTCATTTTTAAACATATAACGTATATCTCATTAAAATTTTTAATCTTTCTGGCTGGTGTATTAGTGTGGTTGTGTGAAACGTGGCCTGTGGAACTCGGGAAAAGCAGTTCAGTTTTTAACCAAGGCTAAGAGTCGAGACATTTCTGACGTTCAGGATTCTGAGAAGACTGATCCAACCTTGGGGAAGTTAAAGCATAAACAGTGGGCTTCAGGGCTCTGCCTCCACTATTCCACATTTTAAACCTGTACCTCAGTTTTATCCATTTTTCAAAAAGCAACTTTTAATGCACTGTGCATGTGCAAGAGTTGGGGCACTAAGCTCTCACTTGGACAGATGCATCATGCAGAAGACAGCGGCTTCCTTTCCGTTTCACTGCCTTGACTGGTTGCACACCATTTGCACTGAGAATTGATATTCAGTGTGAATCTATTCTTCCCTCTGACTGTGCAGAGTTTCCTGTGCCACACAACCCCAAGGCAAAAGATTTTCAAATACAAAGTGTTTCAGCAAGATTGAATATTTGTGCTGTAATACACCACATAACAACTAGAGACAAATCTGATGTCAACAAACTACAGGTGTCCACACTGTATGTAAAGTCAAACCAGAGTGTAACGTAATGCAGTCCTGTGTTTGGCTCATCTGTTCTTAAAGAGGCTGGTCCTCTGTCTGCTCCTTCTCAGTGCTGTAGTTAAGTCCAAGTCGAGTCTCGAATCACCAGTGTTTGAGTCCAAATCAAGACAAGTGTTCACTTTGTCTTTGGTTTTAACTGACGCACAGCTGAAATCAGATTGTATAATAGAAACGAAACAGAGAAGTGGAGGGAGAAGACATAGTGGTTAAAAAGCAGTTGGACAGTCGTACCTCACAGTGATCTCACGCTGGAATGGTTACACAGCATTCAGCCAGGCAAGGGAGGTCGTGTACGCACAATGAGACACACACACACACACACACACACACACACACACGTGTGCAAACAGAGAGAAACATAACAAAACATGAGATAAGCCATTCCTGAGAAAAGTAAGCTCAGCAACATAAACCCCACCAAACACTTAATGCACAGTAAATGTTTGTCTGTTGAAATGTAGCGTTGAGTCCCCAGACTAGACCTGAACAGTTTTATGTATCAGATGGATTAGTGACTGTTAGTGTGCATCAGGTTTCTGCAATAATCCCTCTTCTAACACAGCATGAACTGCCCCTTGGTTCAATGTACAGCTTATTATCGTTTTCCTTTACTATGTAAACCTCTTACTTGTATAATACCACTTAATGCTTTCAGTTGTTTTATCATCTTTTCGTGTCTATATTATGATCTTCATATTTTTAAGTGGTGCCGTGACCTGACCTGAACATAACGTAGAAATTCTTTGGATGTGCATATTGTAGTTTGTGGCAAATGCTAAAAACTATCAAGAAAATGAAGAGTAACGCAGAGTTTAATCTTGCCTTTGTTAAGCAGAGTTAATAATCTAGCTAAAATGTCATCTCTACCACAGAAATGCAGGCAGACAGTCGTACCAAGATTAACAAACCAGCTTTGTGCTCAAAAAGAAGTAATGACAGAAATGTACAGATCATCATTTACTTCATTACTGCTCACATTAATGCAACAACACATTAACATGAGCAAAGGAGAGGGAAGAAGTGAATGGGGTCCATTTAGGAGGAACAGTCTCATGCCATCTGTGTGTGCATGCTCCTACTCATCCACGTTACACGCATGACATCTGCTCTTTGTGTTCTGCTAGTGGTCATGTGTTCAAAGCAGAACAGATCAGAGTTCGGTACAGGTCGTAAAGTGGCTGGATGACAAGATAAAGGAGAACTCTCCTCCTCTTGCAGGGTGATTAATCTAAAGTGCCCGCTGCAGATGTCTGACTCACCGAGTTCAATGAGGTATAGAGGGAAAGATGGGAAACCTTCAGGCAGCTATTTGATTGACTGAAGCTGAAAAATATCCGTCAGGAAATTAAATATTCTTTTTCTTTTTACCGTAACTTTATCACTGTGAAGTATAACCTTAGCTCAGTGTGTCATGGTGCTTGATGTCAACCATAAATGTGAGTCTGAGAACAGACGGCACTGAGCAGATAGTCAAATGGTTGATTCTAGTTATTCACCTGACCAGCATTTGCCACTTACAACCAGCAGGGGGCGGCATTGTCAGAGACAGTCTACAGACTCACCTCACATGGTAAAACAATTACAACTGTGTAGACTACTAGGGAACTTTAATCCAACCCAGCTTAAAATATGTAAACACTGAACCCAAAACTCTGGTTAAATGACCTTTACACTGGTAGAATCAGTCATTTGAAGCTAAGGGAAGCTCTCAGGACTGAAACTAGTCATAATGTGACGAAGAAGAGTGAAGTTTTTATGTCTAATTGTACACACATCCTCCCCTTCCCACAGGAAAAACACAAACCATATCTGGGTATACAGTACTGCAGCATCACATATTTCAGAACCAGATCAACACAGAAAGCCAACAGCAGGTGTCCAAGTTTAAAGACGCATCGCACGCCCTGCAGGATTACGCAGGCTTTAAATGAGACCCATGAGAGTGTGTTCGTTATGCGTGTCATTATCATCAGTCTGGCACACTGAAACATTGGTCTGATCATATTATACCACGTTTTCCTGGCTCAAGTTTACATGTGTAAATTCACAAAAGTTAACCCTCAGGACTGTTTTGCCTCCAAAGCACCACAGGCCATGTTCAACACTCCACACCTGAGCTAGCATCTTCATCAGTTTAAGGTGAACTGAGGATTTAGGACGCTCCAGCTTCTTAGGCGGATGCATGAGGTACACTGTCTGAGTTTATCTATAAAATCACTGTTGGACTGTTGTGTATTAAATATTCTTTGTTCACAGCAGCAGAAAACAAACCGTGAACCTCTAATCAGCACCTTGTGCATCTACAAAGTAGACATAACAAAAATAATCACAGTCTAAGGTTGGAAATAACCAAGGTAAACTACATTTAACACGTGATGAGTCTTTACCTTCTCCAGCTGACTGTGAACATGCTGAACGATCAAATCCAACGCTACAAAGTTCTCTCCACCTGCAAATAATACAAGTTTAAGATACAGACCAAGAATGTAATGACAGAATTTGACAGCCCTAATAAACATTTATTTCTCCAAACAAGCTCTTTTTTCCAATTAATACAAAAACAATAAGCCCAGTGTCTGAAAAGTTTAATGTTGAGTTGTACTGAACTACATTTCCACTCACCTCTGGGCACCACGATGTCAGCGACCTGCACTGTGGGCTCGATGTACTGCTCGAACGCTGGCTTTACAAACTTATTGTATTGTTTGATGATGCCGCTGATGTCCCGTCCACGCTGTGAGATGTCTCTCTTCAGCCTCCGTATCAGGCGGATATCTGAATCTGTATCCACAAACACTTTCATGTCCAGAAGCTGGTAAAGGAGATAAATCATCTCATTAATCTGCGGTTTGTTCTGCATATACACATTTTCATTTACTACATTTCTAGACATCTTACACAGCTTTACAGTGATTTCATGTGTCCCCAAATACCTACAATACCTTTTAAATCTTCTAGTGTAAAATCTAGGTGTCCTCTTTTTGTTTTTATTCCACAAAAGGTGGCATTTGTGATTCAAACTTGCTGTATTAGTCCGCCACCTGTAATCAAACCAGCCAGCCAGAAGCAAAACTGAGGAGCTTGTATGACGCAAACCATGACCCATTTTGTGGCTGCAGTGAAGTCAACTTATATTTGGTCAAGTTCTGTACGAGGAAAAGAAACCAAAAATCAATACAAAGTAAATTTCTTATTAAGCATTTTAATGTTTTCTGAGAGTTTAAGTGAGTCATGTTGTACAAAAGATTTTAATACAGTCATCTGTTACAGAGTAAAAACAAAAACTATAACACTATAATACTGGGAAGCCTTTAAAAACATCACTAAAAATATCTAGATTATTGACTCATCTTCCAAATACTATGTTAATTCATTAGTTTTTGGAAACTGCATAGAGTATCATACTGTATAACACAAACCAAGGAGACAAACATTCACATTTTAGAGGCTGGAACCAGCAGATGTTTGGCATTTATCTGTCAAACATTATATAAAGTTTTCATTACAATTGCTGGTAATAAATGTTCTGTACACATTAACTAATCAATTACCTGTTTAAGTCTCAAAGCCTTTATTTGATTTGAAGAAAAGACAAAAGTTTGCTTGATATATTGTTTTGGTGAAATAAGCATTTGTACGCTGTGACAATATTAAAGTTATTGAAAAGGAGGGAGAAATAAAAGTTAGACAAACAAAAACAAAAACTGTACCAGCTTCACCTTCCACTTCTGTCACAGAAATGGTTGTGGTGCTCTGTTTCACTCTGAAAGTGACTCACAACACTGTGAAGAATCACGTGTAAACTGAGGAGACATCAGGTGTCACAAGCACAGTCCAGTCATTACACTGAACATGAACGCAGCAAAACCAGGAAGAATAAAAATAAAAACTCAATGATGCAGCATCACAACAGAGGTGGGAAGACAAAGAGCCAACAGAGAAGAACTGCTGAAATGAAAAGGAGTTTGTGTGAATTAGTCGAGTGTGTGTTCATGTATAACTCAGCTGCACAACAAGCCTGTTGTAAATCTGACAAACTGACCGACCAAACGATGACATGTTCCTGAATAAGCCCAGCTGTCAGCCTGCAGGAGAAGTGAGTGAGGAGTGTATATACAGGTTTATTACCCTGTGTGAGCAGTATGTGTGTGTGTGTGTGCATGCAGTGTCTCCGGTTCTTAGACCATTAGCATGTCAGATCTGCAGCTGTAATTGACTTCAGTTACAAAAACGGACACAAAACAATTAAAACAATTAATCACCTCAGACATAGGTTCTTATTAACTGATTCAGAGGGTAATCGACTACACAGCTGGGCCTCAGGGGAGGCCTTCTGCCTTATCACCATGGTCCAGCTCTCTCACACACACTCCACACTTACATAAAGGTCAAGAGGACGATGCTCAGCAGCAGAGAAGCTCCGCAATAAAGCACTCTCCTTTAATTCATGTGGATTTCCTCTGACCCTTGATGCCATCATTATAAACACCGCAGAATTAATTTTCACCTCAATTAATTTTCAAAACTGATCTCCTCTTGACATGCACACAAACAAACAGAAGAGAGACGTGGTCCACCCTGGGCAGGTCGCCAGTCTATCACAGGGCTGACATGTAGACAAACAACCACACTCACTCCTACGGGCAATTTAGAGTCGCCAGTCAACCTAAGCTGAATGTCTGAACTGTGAGAGGAAGCTGGAGTACCTGGAGAGAACCCACGCAGGCACAGGGAGAACACGCAGACTGCACAGAGAGGCCCCGGGTCAGCCCGGGCTCGAACCCGGAACCTTCTTGCTGTTAGGTGACAGCGCTAACCACCGCTCCGCTGTGCCACCCCTCTCCCAGAGGGATAACCCATAATCCTATACAATGTTACTTAAAGAAATATAGTGCTAAAAAGAACTAAACAGAACATCAAGATACACACTCCCATAGTTATGGTTAAAGAGACACACTGACTGAACGGTACTGAATATTTAATAAAAGGGGAATATGAGCGCCTCAGCATCAGCCGTGTCCATATGAAACATTTCATCCACAGATAAACGGCGCAGCCAGCTGATTTAATTTCCTTAATCAAAGGTTCATTATTTATTCGCCTGTTTGTCTCCGAGCTGACTGAGCCATTAATCAGGTCTGACACAGACAGCACAGGGGCAGAACAAGGAAAATCTAATTACAAAACATTTAAGCAGCATCCAAATATTTTGACAAGTAAACAGATTTGAAATCAACAAGTTAGCTTGGATTTTTTTTTTTTTTAAATAAAATCTGAGGTTTTCTGGCAATGCTGCTTTCACTGACTGCTGTGAGTTGCTCTAAATGGGACAAGTCGATGTGTGAAACATTTCAGGGTTTAAAAACAATACAGTGGGTGAAAGCTTTAATGTGCCACTGGGGGAGAAGAGAGGATCGCACTATTCTTACCTTCAGCAGCTCCTTGTTGGCGAAGGCCAGGATGCCCTCAAAGATGACAACGTTGGCCCCGTATACTGTTTTCTGTCGTGAAAAATAAATGGGTATTGATTAAATACAAACGTATGAAGAGAGAAGCTCTAAGAGCTAATCAGATCATCTGCTCCTGTGGAGGGAGCATTTGGTTTCTACTCTATGCTCCCGAGTCACAGACACCAGCATGATGACATGATGTGACACAAAGTAAAAGAAATACAACCCTTCAACAGATAGATAAATGTCCTCACTTCTCTGATGATGAACTGATGGTCAGTCTTAAAGCTGAGTTGTGGAGTTATGTTTCTCAAACACACTGCACTTTCCACTGAGGCCTGAGAAATGTATTCATGTATTTTTAAACACATTTTCTTTATCACAAAACACTTTCAAAGTTGACTTTCTTTTTTTAAATATTTATGTGCATGCACACTTGCTAGCAGGGTTTTCCTCGTCCTTTTCAACTGGCACATGCCCAACGCCACCTGTCGAGCAGTGGAAAGGCAGGAAACCCTCAGCTTTAATGTGCATGATGTTACCTGTACGTTCACAGTTGTGCATTCTCGAGCACTTGGCAAACAAAATATAAAAAAACATTTGGTCCTACTAGTGGCTGAAATCCCTACAATACAAAAGGGGCTTTGAATACATCAGTCCAACACATGTGGACACAAAACACAACAACCAGCTATTCTTGTGTTCTTCACTGTTATCAAACCTCAGTGTGAACTTGTTTCACTACTAAGGAGAGTGAGTGTGTGCTTGTTTCTGTGGGTGAGAGATTAATCACAGCCTCAGTGAAAGACAAAATGGCACCAAGTATATCGCAATCCTATTATCCTCCTCTGACCAGCATCGAGATAAAGTCAAAGGACCGGACACTTTGCTATCAATGCCAAGAGAAAGAAAGAAAGAAAGAAAGAAAGAGAGAGGGAGGAGGAGGAGGTGAGGTCGTGTTTGAAAAGGAGAAATTGAAAAGGAGAGAATTGAAAGCGTTTATCGATTCGTTCATTACCCTGTTCACTAAGAAATGATTTAGTGGGTCTTTAACATGTTTAAGTGTTGGTGGCTCCAAGAAGGTGACCTCCACTTTTACCAGAGAGGAAGACGCCAGAAAACCGCACCCTCTTGTTTATTCATACCAGTGGCAGAAACACACACAGTATATTCAGCCTGCAGCTGGTTGGCCCTCACAGCCCCTTGACTCTTGGAACCCGAGGCTTAATTACATTCACCCTGCAGTACAAAAGGCCCATAATAAAATGATTTCCAAGGCACAGGTCGTGATTGGCGATTTCCCGCCTGGTGTTGTGCTTTTCAGCCATGAAATTACATTGCACAGAAATAGAGAGGAGCTGTCAGAGTGCTACGCTGTCCGAATGATTCTTCACAACGTCTCTGGGAGGGGATTTGGGCTCTTTGCCTGGGTTTTAATGTCTTGTACACTAAATCCTTAATAATTATCAAATTAGCAGGCATCTCAATTGGCATCTGCTCAGACAACTAACACAACCCCAGAGGTGTTCAATGATTTGTAGCTGCAATAGGAATTTTATCCTTTAAATTACAAGAGGTCGAAAATGTTTGTCGCTTTATTTTGGTGACCATTTTCCTGTACAAACTGCACTGAAGTGAAGCTACAGTAACTGAGGAACACAGTACAATAGGTCCCAGTTACTCAGACTGCAAGAGAAATATTACAATAATATTAATAGATTGCTAGAAGATACCAATTCACTTTGTCTTTCCTCTCTCCACCTTGATCTAAGATGGTATCTTCCAGCTTCTGACTGACTGAACACACCTGATCCAGGTAATCAGCAGCGGGTAGAGCAGTGATAGCTGGAAAACAAGCAGGGCAGCAGCATTCGACACCAACACTGTCGAATCTTGTAGAAACAAATCATCCCATCTAAAATGCAGTAACCAAGTGACATTAGGAACAACCTTTAAGGCCGGTTTGACTCAGTGACAAGGTCTTACCCATTCTTTGCGTCTGCAGTGAGACGTGAAGTCATACACCGGCACTTTGACGCTTTTTCCTTTCTTCAGCTTTCGGAGGACGGTGATCAGGAGCTCAAAGTCGAAGGCATCAGGGTGGTCGAAGTTGTATTCATTTTTGGCTGCCAGCTCCTGCTCTTCTTTATTCAGCACCTGAAACAGCAGCGCACACACAAAACAAGTTAACCACAAGACTCCAGAGATTAATAACTGAACTGACGTTCCTCCAGTTACACATATTTATTCACCGAAGGCAGATGGTAGCAGTAAAAGAGCTTGGTTTTGTTCCCTGCCCCCTGAGACCAGTGTGGATTTTAAAGGTCAGTGCTGGCGTAGATGACAGCAAATTTCAATGATATTATTATGCAGCAGTTTTAAAACTGTTTTTTCCCCCCGAGAACAAAACATTTAGTGTGTGATCATGAGAAAACCATAGTTCTTCTCTGAAAATACAAGAACTGAAAATTAGTTTTGCTGATTAAACACAGAAAAACACCTTTTAAAAACAGGTTCCCATGGGAAAAGTCAAATCCACCCCCAGACTTTCTGTTGCAAGTCACCTCCACTCTTTTTCTAGCCATATTTCTCCGATGCCCTTCAGTGTCATCTTCTGAAGGAACATTTCACAGATATGTTAATCATTTCAATACAATGTGCCCCCTCATCTGTTAAATTGAATTTAAAGGAGGCTCAATAAACCAGAACACAAAGTAGTGCATTCTGAATAAAGGTGCTGCCACAAAAAAAAAAAAAAAAACATACTCCTCCATTCACTTTCAATGCATCACTAGAAAGCTACGGCACATGTAGCCGCCATATATCACTTTTTAACTGGAAGCAACAATTCACATCTGAAGGTCATCAAAACAGGAATTTCCGCAATGAATGAAAACGTCCCAAGAATTTTACTCACTGGAGTTAAAGGCTGGGTATTGTTCTAATTATTGTAAAACGCTGAGCAAGTAATCTGAAATATTACCAGACTGATTTAATGAACAGAGAACTCACACTTGGAGTAAGTCGTCATTTATTTTTAGTGCCGTTAGCAGAGTCTTGTACCTTGTAGAAGGAGTCCATGGAGAGGAGAACCACCCAGGGGACATCAAGCGCTTCAATGATCTTATTGGCTACTGTGGTTTTACCTGAAGCACTTCCTCCACACAGACCTACAACAGGAAAGCAACAGTGTTACCAACAGATGGAAGACACATTTAAACTAGCATAAAGCAAACGACTACCTCAGATCCCTTTTTTATTTAAAGTGCTATGTGGGTTTTTGGGCATCCGTGACCACTGCTTTTCCTTAGACACTGTTGTAGGTACCGACCACTGCAGACCAGGAGCACCCAACAAGAGCCGCAGTCTGGGAGACGCTCTGACCCAGTCGTCAGCCATCACAGTTTGGCCCTTGTCAAAGTCACTCAGATCCTTACACTCATCCATTTTTCCTGCTTCCAACACAACTTCGAGGACTGAATGTTTACTTGCTGTCTAACGTACCCCACACACTGACAGGTGGCACTGTGATGAGATGTGACCACCTGTCAGTCTTCACAGTGTTGTGGCTGAGTGGTGTATGATCCATGTTAAAACAGCCAAAATACAGAACCTTTAAATGATACGTGTTTTTCCATGTAATCTGGCTATGTAGTAATGTAAATCAAACACAAAAAAGTAGAAAAATAAAATAAACAGTACAACCTGGCTAAAGTGACAACTAATGATTATTGTCATTAACCAGTTGGTATACTGATTTCTTAAAATAAAACTGGTTATTTAGTCTATAAAATAGTAATGTCACAACATATCTTCAAAATGTGATAAAAAAAGAGAAAAGCAGCTAATTCTCACAGTTGAAAAGCTAAAATCTACAGTGTTTTTGCTTGTTAATCCCTGAAAGGATTAAAAGTGTCAATTCATTTTCTGTTGTTCAACTACTGATTAATCATTGTAACACAACACATGGCACAGTTATTATAAAAAACAGTTCCTGTGTATTAGTATTTATTTGTGCTGTGAGTAAATCAGAGTGATACTCAGTGAAAAATGAGTTTTTTGCTTGGCATTGCAGAAAATGTTGGTGCAACCATATTTATTGCTGGAGTCAGAGACTAAAAAAATACTGGCACCAGAGCAACCAATGTAAGAAAAACAAAAACAATCTGGAGCCCATCATTACCCCACTCGACCTCCCGGGTTAAAGACCACAGCAGCAATCGTTCAGGACAACAACCCTGGGAACGGGGCCAGAAATACACACCGGCTGCCTGGTTGGCAAAGTGAAAAACAGGATGCACTCTCCACGAACGGCTGTGTGTTTGTTGGTGTGTGCATGCATGTGTGTGCGTGCAGGAACAGAAATGGCCTACAGAGCTAGATCAGTGGTATAAACAACTCTCGGTGAAGTGTTGGAATGAGGGTTTTTTTTTTTTTGCTCAGATAAGAGCCATCAAGGTCAAAACTGCTGACTGGGAGGCTGAGGGAAAAGACTGCAGTGCTGCTCATTTCTATGTATGATTACACCTTTGGAGAGGTTATAGAAATACCACCTCTGACTTCTGAATTGTTGTAGTAAAAGAAAAAACCCGCGAGACCCATTTACTGAGTTCC